AAATAATTGCACCCAAACCCAAAGTGATATTAACCTGTGATTTGGGTGATATGTCTAAATTATCCAGATATATTTGCACTAATACATAACTCATATTTGCCTCCTCGTGGAATGTGTTACTTACCATTTCGGCCTTCTCTCTCTCTCTCTCTCTCTCTCTCTCTCTCTCTCTCTCTCTCTCTCTCTCTCTACCTGAACACAAACAATCATTTCTACCATAGAGAATGTTTACTTCATTTAAGTTAACAAGAAGAAAAGTAACTTAATTCATTTAAGTTAACGAGAGGAATACTGATGTAACACTTGAGAGAGACATGTTTGGGATAGTGAAAAAATATATATAACTTTTAGTTGGTTTATATCTTTTACAGGTGATGATGCAAAATTCTCCCCATTATATGCTAATGAAATAAAAAATATTAACATTTACAGGTATCGATGTGAAGGGGCTTGGAAGAACAAGAAAAAGACCTAGAGAGGAGAATTTATGATGTTTAGAGCGTGTTGTTACACCAAGATTAATAATATATGATGATTCATTCATTAAAAAGAGAAATATTTAATAAAAATTTTAAGACATGATGATTTTTAAATCAATCAATCCTTACCATGAAAAAAATATTGAGGTAGAATACCAATGTTATATCTCTTATACATGTTTACTTCGTTTAAGTTAATAATAAGAAGAAAAGTAACTTAGTTCATTTAAGTTAATAAGGGGACACAGTATGATTATGCTTTTAAGTAAATAATGGGAAGATATCTGTTGTGCTTCCATGCACACTTTTAGTTCATTTAAGCTAATTTCATGGTGTCTGTCAGCCCTGTGACCTCACCAAATTTTAGCATAAGAGGACACAGTTGGACTGGAAAGAGATGATTATCTTAAATCTAGCTTGTGTGTGAATAACATTTATGGCGCTCGTCTGACTGACCTGTGTTGACAAAGGTGTTCAGTAAGGAGATACGTAATGACTATGTGATTTTCTACCTTGGGTGTGAACACCATTTCATGGTGTCTGTCAGAGCGAGGATTGTGTATCTATCCAGAAATCGAGTAAATATTTCTACCAATGACTGTGTTTACCAACAAGAAAACAATGTTCGATTTTTAAGATAAAGTCTCCAAAACTAATTTGGAAATATCCAAAATGGAGTCGTTCAAGGTAATTCTGGGGTACTCTAATGTATTTTGGAAGTGTTCCAATATATTTTTGAATTTGTTCCAACGTAATTTGGAAGTGTTTTGGAAATTAATTAATGTTATCCCAAGCATTTTGTTCGTATTACAGAAATCGAGGGAATGTGGCTAAAATGTGATTTATATCATATCATATCTTAGTTGGATGTGTTTGTGATATATTTATAAAAAATAAGTGTTTTCTAAAAATCTGTGACACGTTGTGAATATTACTGAGTCAATATGAAAATGTGGTGACTTTTTTCTGTTGAAATAGTTAAAACGAGAAAAATTGTGGGTTATGAGTATAATATTAATCTATGTGGATTTGAGGAGATGGTATGGAATGGATTTTATTAGAAATTTAGTGAGTGTAGGGAGGAATGTGCATTACATTTAAGAAAAAATTATGGGAATTTCTATAAAATGGGTATTAGCTGGTAGTGCTGATCTTAGTTTCTGGTGATTTTTAGTGGCATTTGAGCAGTATTCAGTGGTGTTTTGGTAGTATTTAGTAATATTTTGGGAGTATTCAAAGGAAATTGATGTTTTGTTTTTTTGGTGTTGTTCAAAGCATAGCATGGTGTGTATGAGTTAGTTTTTATGATAATGTTGTAAAGTTCGGAGAATACGGGAGGAGTCTGGTGGATGAGTTGTAATTTAATGAAATGTGTAAGTGTAGATGAGAATGTAAATTGCTGGGTGAGTTAGAGAAGACAAAAATGTTATGTGATCTTAGTAAAAGTATAGATAGTTTCAGTGATCTTGACGTAAGCAATCTTAGTTTTTAGTGATCTTGGTTATGATGTTTTAAGAGAATGTGTGTACAAAACATGTGATCTTAGCGGTGGGTTATAGAATATGGTGAACGTCTTGACTGTGGTGATCTTAGATACTGGAGATATAACAGGTTGAAACAAGTAACTTCCTCTCATTAAGTTAAATGAAGTAAAAGTGGGGGTGTGACATCGTGTGTTGGTGGCAGTGAGGTGAGTGTATTAGATATTGTATGGAGTTGGTGATTGTGGTATTTTGTGTGAATGTTTATAAAAATGGGTGTGGGGTTGTTTTGGGAGTATTCAAAGGTGTTTGATTATGTTTTTGAATGTGTTCAAATTATGTTTTTGAAGTAATCAAAGGTAATTGATGGTGTTTTTGGTGTTGTTCAAAGTAAAGTGTGGTGTGTGGGTGTGTGTTTGTGTTACTTTTGGTAAAATGTCTCATGTCATAAGTGTTTGAGTTAGTTTTTGTGATAATGTTGTGAAGTCTGGAGACTTAGGGAGGAGTTTGGGTAATGAGTTGTAATTTAATGAAATAATGTAAGTGTAGATAAATTAGAGATGTCAAATCTTATTTGGGAATTTTCAAAATGTTATTTTGGAAGTGTTTTAGTGTTCTTTGGAAATGTTCAAAGGCGTTTTTGTGAATATTCAATGATTTATGAGAGTGTTCGAAGTAATCTGGGAGTTGTTCTGCAGTGAGATAATAAAGGTTGTTCATGAGAGAATATATATCTTAAGAGATGTTGAGAAAAGTGTATGTCTGTGTGTGTGTGTGGGTATTAACTTCGTAATATGTAAAATTGTGACTAGTGAATTTATCGAAAAGTGGTTTAAGTTATAAGAGTTGTGGTGACTTTTTCTGATGAAATAGTTAAAACGAGAAAAATTGTGGGTTATGAGTAAAAATTGTGGCTTGGTGGAGGAGAGCAAAGACTCGCCAGTCGGCAGATGTCTAGACTTGAGGAGAGTGAATCTTGTGTTGTATTTTGTAAAAAATTGCGGATTGTTGTGGGTATTAACGAAAATGAGGAATTATTTGGGTTATCCTGGGTTAAGAGTGAAAATGTGTATGGAGTGAGATGGTGACGACGATGAAGATCCAGAACAAAATGCCCAGAATTTCTTCAAGAGAAAAAGAATTACTCTATGTTGATTCTAGTCAATGAATTGTACCTTTTTTCAATTAATTTGTATTTTTTTTGTTGGATGTATATGAAATATTGTGCATTAGTTGTATAATAAACAAATTAAAATATTGTGTATTATTGTTATCCTGCATTTTAAGTTAATATTTGGTCGACAAGATTCAGCCTGTGTGTGTGAAGTCATCACGTGACATCACTGACCGCTGAGTAAACACAGGTGGGGTGAGGTCACACTTGTTTAGACCTGTATTAAGAGAAAGTACCATACCCCATAGGGGGAGTCCATTTGAATGCTTACCCCCCATAGGGAGAAACCCAAAAACTTGATCCAAGGAGATGGAGCAGGAATATTGGGTTTAGAGGGTGGTGTGAGGGGATAGAGGGTAAAACTTGATCCAAGAAGATAGAGCAGGAATATTTGTATTATTGATATCAAGAAAAAACTTGATCCGAGGAGTTGGAGCAGGAATATTGGCTTTAGAGGGCAGTGTGAGGGAGGGTGTTGATCCGAGGAGTTGGAGAGCACAAGAAATTCAAAACCCCATAGGGGGAGTCCATTTTGAATGCTTACCCCCATAGGGGGAACCCAAAAACTTGATCCGAGGAGATGGAGACCGTAAGAAAATGAAATTCAAAAAACATTTTGAAAAAAATCGGAAAAAATTCGAGGAGCGGGGGCGATCCGGACGACGCTGCAGAAGGCGCTGCAGAAGGTGCGGGTGGGTGCTAGGGCACGGCATGGTGGGCAGGCGCGAGGGCACGCACGAGGACGTGGGCGGGCGCGGTGAGGATGAGGTGGTCGAGGGCGTGGTGAAGGTCATTATCAAAGGTGCGAAAAGGCAGCATCCTTTGAGAAGCCATACTGTGGGAGCCATACTGTAGAAAACTTCACTACTACTGATTACTTGGCCTCTTGTGTTAATTAGTATTGATCAGTGCCTTTGACAACTAGTGTGTGTGTGTGTGTGTGACTAACCTTTACAAACGTGAGGTAGAGTGCTAATGTTGATATTTTTAAGCACACATGTAATATTAATATTTAAAAAGTATTGGTTGGTATCGGCCCTTTTTTCACCGACTGCGTAAAAAATGTCCAATAACCATGATACCGATACTTTGGCCCATCCCTATTTTGGACTTTTAAACCTGCAGAAATTAAAGTGTTTTCTTTTGTCGGAGATGAAAAATCTGGTAAAACAAAGAGAGCTGAAACAGCTGTGTTATGAGGTAACTAGATTAAGAAATAATGAAGAGTGAAGAAGTGGAGGAAGGAAGGAAGAGGGAATTAGACAAAATTACCGAACACGAGAAAATGAATGAAAGACTAAAAATAGAAAATGTTGAGTCACTTTCTCTCTGAACCAGAAAATGATTCACAATGAGAGAGGAGGCAAAAAGTAAATACAAAGAAATGTATGATTTACTGATATGACAGGTGAGAAAGTGACGAAATTTTACAATTCTGCAAGATTCCGTAGCTCGGCTAACTCCTCAATGTGACCTTTACAATTGCTCCCATGAATGGGATCACCCGCTCTTTTCCGACGATCCTCATTCTGTCTACATATTCCCACGTTTTCCATGTACTCCTTGTTGACGATATTTTATACATCTTATACCCCATTGCTAACTGCCTGGCAGAAATGTGCTTGAAACGAACGTTTCGAGAGAGAAAAATCAAGCAAGAGATAGAAAGAGTTCTATATATTTTGATTCATCACTGAGGCTCTCTTCATTAGTCTCGTGAGGAGGGTCTCGGTAGGTCTCGTTTTTTCTATTAACCATTGATTATTACTCTTTTATTTTTTGGAAAACAGTATGATGAGTACACATATTCACAAAACCACAGGAGTACATCTAGTTAGGTCTCATTATGTCTTCCTTCATCCTCAGGATGCCAGATGAGACGCAAGGGACTTGTTGCCAAGGGAAACAGCGGAATCACTTCGTTCTTCGTCACTGGAGGAGACAACTTTACCGGGATTAAGATTTCCACAAAACCGAGTATTGATATAACATTGAACTCCTCATTCTTCATGAAGTCCCAGTGGAATCAAGTATATGTCATCTGCACATCATTAAACATATACGTAAGTTGGTAGCGTTTTCTAAGTCGGGCAAAATGTATTCTCATGTGATCCACATTGCTGCCAGTGAGGGATAACTGACCCAAGTAATTATGCCTATCCTCCCTTGGATCGAACCTGTTTGCCTCCCATTTTCCCTTGCTTTGTATGCCTCCTACAGCTTAAACGTTTCCCTCATCCAATAAATAAAGTGTAACAACAGTCATTCGCTTCTTAGATATTATTACCAACTCAGTGATGCTTTAGTCTTATTTTGCTGTCCAGATCGTCCACTGACTTAGCGGCCAATTCAAAACAAAGTTTACTGTTACCTGTATCATTGTATTACACTGGTCAACAACCAAAATGCTTCCGAGACCAGAGTAGCAATTTCCAACTAATTTTAGATCACTGATAATGAATATCATGGTTAAAATTGTTTGTTAGCTCTACTTTTCAATATACACCTACGTGTCACATCAGGTTCCAACGGGCTTCGGCAGTGTTTCTTACTACACTCACAGTCTCACTGACCTTCATTATTGTTCCAGCAGTCAGCATATGTTGCAATGCATGAAATGTGATGAATATCAATGGCAGCTCTGTGGTGACTTTAAGGTTGTTGCTTATGTAATGGGCTTGCAGGGCGGATACACCAAGTACTGCTGCTTTCCATGTGAATGGGACAGCCATGCAAGAGATTTACACTACATCAGGAGAAACTGGCCACCTCGTCAATCATTGGAGCCTGGGATGAAAAATGTTCAACATCCACCTCTCATTGAACCAAACAAAATGCTACCACCACTACCCATAAAACTGGGGCTAATGAAAAACTTTGCAAAAGCTTTGGACAAATCCGGTCAGGGATTCAAGTATTTAACATCAAAATTCCCCTCACTGAGAGACGCTAAGATAAGAAAGGGAGTCTTCAATGGTCCTCATATTCGAGAGCTTCTTGAAGATGGTGACTTTGAATCAGACCTTCATGGGGAGGAGAAAGCTGCTTGGGAAGCATTCAAGTTAGTGGCGAAGGGACTTCTCGGAAACAAAAGGAAATGCAACTATGAAGAATTGGTGGAAAACCTCATCAAGGCTTACAAGAACATGGGATGTAACATGTCACTTAAAATCTACTTTTTGGACTCACATTTAGACTTTATTACAGCGAGCTGTGGGGCAGTTAGTGACGAACATGGTGAAAGGTTTCACGAAGATATTTCAACCATGGAAAAATGGTTCCAGGCAAATGGGGCACAAGAATGCTTGCAGACTACTGCTGGACATTGGCAAGAGATGATTCTTCAGCCCACTATGAGCGTCAAGCAAAAAGGCAGAGAATAGGTACGGATTCGAGTTTAAAATATACTGGCACATATTGTGCATTATAATAAAAAAATCAAATATTACATGTCTCTTATCTTTAAAACTATGGCCAATAAACATTTTTCAAGGTGATATTTGGATTCAGGACATGAAAATACATACGAATTAAGTAATCTCATTTAAGAAGCATACAACTTATCAAAAATTGTTGACCAGTGTATCACATAAGATGTTCTATGTGAGTAACCTGTTAGTTAATAAAGTTAAAATTCTATGGAATGGAAGTGGATCAATAAACCATCCATTCGACAATACACTATCAGAATATATTAATACTTGAAAAGGTAATTAAAGTTAATTCTCAGTGTACATACACTGAGACACCTCTCTAACTATATGCCTTGTTTATAGTATATGTAATGAGTGTATTAAATATATGGTTTGTTGACTGTCATTAAAGGTTCAGTTCACTTCGAAACTAAAGGAAAAAACCCTGAAATAATAATTTGTCTTTGAGTGAACGTCGATTTCTCAGATACGATTTAAAAGCAAATTTTTCGGAATACATTGCTTTGGTTAGTTTTGATTTGGCTATGTTAAAGCGTATTTTATTAGCAAAACTTAAACAATTACAAATATCATATTGCTAATAAATGCAATAATTCGTGATCCCCATCCTTTCTAAGTTAATTTACTATTGCAATAGATATATTAAAAATATTAATGTATATTGCCTTCGTGAAGTTGAAATAACGAATGAAAAACGATGTGCCTCTTTCAGGTAATTACCTAATCAACGCTAAAGTGTACAAGAAGTTACATTTTCACACACATTTTATTAAATTGAAAGAATATTGGGATTCAGCACTAGAAAGGCTGAATCTCATCTGAAAAGATATTAATCATAAATATAACCAGATATGTTTTGGTCGCTGAACGATCCAAGGAATGTATTCCCTTATTTCGTATTCCATAATCTCAGTATCTTGTAGCTCAGTGCAGAAATGTATTCCCGTATTTCATGATCCCAGTCTCTTGTAGCTCAATGCAAGTGATTAGAATATTAGAGTGCGATGCATAATTTAATGATATGGTTAATTATTAGTTTTAAAGATTCCGATTAATGGGAAAACATTCACAATGCGTCATATGGAAACTAATATTCAAATATCTTCAATAAAATTTGCAAATTGGGACAAAAACGACGTAAATCTTATTCAAACTTTTCAAAGAGACCAAAGACACCAATAACTTAAAAAGGCACAAGCACATTAAGCTTGAAGCCGCTCAAAAGTTGCATTATCACGGCTTGAAGCTAATCAGATGCAGCACTCTTAACTGATCGCATGATAAGCAGCATTTCATATTTATTTTCATTTAAAAATAAAAATAAATGGGACCTACACAGTCTAAAATATATTCTATTTTTGAAGTATATCCCACCTTTTTAAGAAGGTAAGTTTTATGTAGCTTTGTGTACATAATCTTTTTAAGAATGGTCTGGAGGGAACACAGATGTTATAAGCAGATAAAAGAATAAAAAAAAATTAATCTAGCACAGTCAAATATAATTAAACACTGACTTACATCTAATCAGAAGAGACATTTTCCAATTATTTCACAGAACTAATTTGATTAATAAAACTGGCACATGGTAATTCGTACAACGTAGCATCTAGAAATTAATTCTCTTGAAGAAAACACATCAGTACTAAAAAATTAAACCTGACCAGGTGATAGTTTGCACTTATTGCTCAAAATTCAGAAAAAAAATAAATTAAAAATTCCTACACAGTCTAAACCCACGATACGTTTCACCTATTTCATTCGATGCATCAGCCATTGAAGGTTGATGCCATTCACAGTTGTTATATTTTGATCAAAGGAAACTCTAAACCTCTAGGGGTCATACAACGCCTGTGGAATGGAAGGCATTCAAATTCGATAATGCAATTATAAATAAGGAAAATTTCATCAACAGTTTGCCTTTTTATTCAAAGAAGATATTTTTAATTATTATATTTCTTAAATGCTACTCGGTCTATTACATGTAAATCATTCAATGTGATATGGATGACAGGAATACTTTCATCGCCAAATGCCAGACCAGTTGTCGTCTTCTAGGTGTTGGTGAACGGCAGTGTCGTTATAAATAAGACTACCGCTGACAAAGTTGAGGTCAGTTTCGTAAGCTTCGAGGTGCAGGGTGATGGTGAAGCAAAATGGTGTAACTCCGTCGCTCCATCATTGTCATCACCATCCTGGTATCAAGGTCAGTAGAGCATTGTAAACATAACTTTCCATAACACTTAAGAATTGAGGATGAAATATATATATATGTATGTTTTACCCCCCCCCATCCCACATTCCCTCTATTCACAATCCCCCATTCCTACCGCAGTACCCCCCCTCCACTCCATTCTCCCAGTTCCTCCCACACTCCCGTTTCTTCCCCACTCCGTCTTCCTCTTCACTAACCCTTTCACTTTCTGAACTTTCAGTTTATCTTCACACCATTTTACACTTCTGTTTCCTCCTCCACTTCCTTTCTCTCCCAAGTCCACCTTCTCTCCCTACCCCATTTTCTTTCCAACGAAGTTTTCTCCTCCTTCGAATTTCCCCTCTCATCTACCACTCTTTACTTCCCAGTTTCTCTCCCACCGTACCATCCCCTTTCCACTTTGCTTTTCGTCCCCTCCAAACTTTATTTCCTTCCTCAGTTTACCTTCCTCTTCGCCTCAACATTCCTCCACACCACTTTTCTTCCCACTCCACTTTTCTTCCCTCCTCCCAATTCTTCTTCCTCACCACTCACTTTCCCTTGTTTTACTAGTATCAAAAATTTATGTATGTGAGCAAAGAAGTGTTGTAAGGTGCAATGTATCTTTCACCTTGAAGGAGCCTTTTTTTGTCATATTTCTAACGTCACTAACATCCAGTGAATCATAATCATAAAATCTCTGACAAATCTGACAACAAAAAACTTTAACGAAGTCAGTGACCTTCAATGAAACATGACTCTATAGCTTTTTATGTGACAGATTATGGCGCAGTTACGTACACTGGCTGGGTGTCGGTGGCACTGTTGTTCCTGCTGTGTCTGGTCCTCATCTGCTGTATTGCCTGCAGACATAGGAAGTCATATGTTACTATTGAGTCTTGTGCCAATCCACCCACCTTGCCCCGGTGCAAAGCTCCGACACCTGAACGAATAAGTATCACCACGTATGGTATGCCCCTAGACGAGATTTGCTTAGCCAGTGAACACATTTACGACAGCTGGATGGACCTGGAGGACGCGCAGCAAAGCTCGAGGCACGACAGCGAAAGCGGATCTTCTTGTGCCAGTAAGGCAGTGAAAGAAACTAGTTTCATGAATGGGAGTGAATCTGACGATGTATGTTCTTGTGCCAGCAAGGCAGTGAAGGAAACTAGTTTCAAGGATGGGAGAGAATCTGACTGTGTATCTTCTTGTGCTAGTAAGACAGTGAAGGAAACTAGTTTCAAGGATGGGAGTAAATCTGACGGTGTAGACTAAGGCCATAATCCTGCCATTCATTCTTGTTCCTCAAAAGTAGGATCAAGTTTTTGAAAAGTTTCTTCATGATGGTCTCTGGTGCTGGTGAGACTGTGAAAGAAACCAATTTCTGTGGTGAGAGTGTTTCATATGTTTCAGAGAAACAGAACCATTTTCGTATTATTGCCATACTTGTGAACAAGTGTGGTAACAATACCATATTTGTAGGCAAAATCTTTATTTTAAAGATGACTCTTAGCCAACACAGTGGCTACATGACGTCAGCTTATGAAGCGTACAGCATAATAGTACATACGAAAATAAAGTGAGGTGATAGACGAGGTTAGGTAATGGATGACGGAGTCTCAAAGTGCTGTTCAGTAGCACTGGAAGTCTACATATGCAGCCGCTAAATCCTGTCTCCATGTTCTATTTCTCTCTTTGATAATAATTTCATTGTCCAATCTATTAGATGCCCCTCTTTTTCCCCGATGCTTGATGCAAGCATTGCTCTGGTTGTGTTTGGCAAACTTGTTTGTATTTCAAGTATCAGTGCAGTCTCAAAAACGAACACTCTATCACACCTACCACATAGAATTCTGTAGAAGCCTTCTTCAAAGCTGGAATGGCTGTCGATCGTAGGTATGGTAATAACTGCAAGTTTGATATCACTATAGTGAAGGGTATGGGGTATTTGGATAGTGGAGTCGCCAGCAGCCGTACCACGTCACCACTCCGACATCCACTGAATGATAACGCCTAAATTCACTTCACTTTTCTTTTGTATATGTAATGTGCCTTGTATTTACTTGATAAAGGCCTCTGTGAAGACCAAATGTGTCCTGGTGTTGGTTCCTAACAAGCAGAAATATGTTTTTCAAAAACCATACTCCTAAAGAGTTAATGGAAGACAACATTCTTCAAGTAAGATAATTTTTAAGAAAATATGTTGAGTTTATGAAACAGAAGAATGATCCTCAAACACATGACCAAATTCATCAGGAAGTTAATATCAAATCATAAAGTCATGTTCTTCAGGGACATTACCAGAGGTATGGCCAATTCCTTGAATTAGTGGAACGACCATTGGTTTATTTGATTACCGAATATACAACACGACATAGAAACTTATGTTTTTATTTAGGGGGACTACGTGGTAACTGACATTAATTAATCACACATCAATCAAGCCAACCAAACACTCCAGCCGTCTCAAATTTCTAACTGGGTGTGCTCCCCTGATAAAACTGGCAAGTTACTAATAAACGAAGTAATTACTTGCCCTCTATGGTGTCTTGGTCGATACCTAGCTCCTGGGCCAAATTCAGGGGCTGATACCTAGCACAACGGCCGGTGGCTTCACATCTGTCCTCGTGCTGCCTTCGTAGCGACACCGTGATTATCACACCCGTTAATGAACGAGATACCACGGCATATGCTAACGAGCCTACCTAACCTGAACAAGAATTGCAATTGACACTGCACAAGCTACATGGACGTTATTATTCGTCCTGGGGGATGGAGTTGTGTCTTCACTTGGACGGCTGATCGTGAGAACTTTGCTCCTCCAACCTTTTAAGAACAGAGGTAATTGAGGGTTAATAATCACTTGATTGAGTTTTAAAGGACTCTGAACTGCAACCTATAATTAGGTAGGGATTGTAGTAATATATATATATATATATATATATATATATATATATATATATATATATATATATATATATATATATATATATATATATATCTTATAATGCGTTTTGTAATGTGTGTGTGTGTGTAATGTTGGTGTGTATGTGTGTGTGTAATGTGTGTGTGTGTAATGTGTGTGTGTGTGTAATGTGTGTGTGTGTGTAATGTGTGTGGGTGTGTAATGTGTGTGTGTGTGTAATGTGTGTGTGTGTGTGTAATGTGTGTGTGGTGTGTAATGTTGTGTGTGTGTGTAATGTGTGTGGGTGTGTAATGTGTGTGTGTGTGTGTGTGTGTGTGTGGTGTGTTATATACCAAAATATAATATTTTCTGTAAATCATTTGAATAAAGTGTTTGCTGTAATATTAGGAGAATATTGTTTGCTATAAAGTAACTTTAACTCACAGATCGGATGGGGTTCGATCCCATGGTAAGCCAGGCCTAAAACTAACTGGCCATTCTTGTTATTTCAACGTTTCGAAACATCAAGTGACGGAAGCCTGAATATAGCGTTTGCTACAAACAATGATAATAGAGTATTTCTCGGATGTTCCGTGTGATTAATTTACCAGTTTAGTTTTGGCAGAGATGTATGAGAAGGATCACACTCTTAACTTTTTCTGGATTATTAATTTCAAGGAATTAATTACAGGAAGATCTGGAATGTATAACCTCTGTTATCGGCATGTAATTCCCTGTTGTAAGTGCCTTGGTGCCTTGATGCCTGCAGAGGGCTCTTGATCCCCGGAATTGAACATTTCCTGTTCCTGACTTGAACCTGATTACCTTCAATTCAAAATACGTTGATTGACCCTTTAGGTTAGCGTCCCTATTATATAATAATAATATAAAATTATAATAATAATTTAAGTACTTAGTGCTTTAGATAACTAAGAGATGTATTTGATTTGTATTTAAGATAGCTGAATTATGTATGTGATTAATTTTTAAGATAATTCAGTGAAAGATGTTATTTGCTTTCATGATAACTGGTGATATATGTGACCTGTGTCATAACTGGTGATGTATGTGACCTGTGTCATAACTGGTGATGTGACCTGTGTCATAACTGGTGATATATGTGACCTGTGTCATAACTGGTGATATATGTGACCTGCGTCATAACTGGTGATATATGTGACCTGCGTCATAACTGGTGATATATGTGACCTGTGTCATAACTGGTGATATATGTGACCTGTGTCATAACTGGTGATATATGTGACCTGTGTCATAACTGGTGATGTGACCTGCGTCATAACTGGTGATATATGTGACCTGTGTCATAACTGGTGATATATGTGACCTGTGTCATAACTGGTGATATATGTGACCTGTGTCATAACTGGTGATGTGACCTGCGTCATAACTGGTGATATATGTGACCTGTGTCATAACTGGTGATATATGTGACCTGCGTCATAACTGGTGATATATGTGACCTGTGTCATAACTGGTGATATATGTGACCTGTGTCATAACTGGTGATATATGTGACCTGTGTCATAACTGGTGATGTGACCTGTGTCATAATTGGTGATGTGACCTGCGTCATAACTGGTGATGTGACCTGCGTCATAACTCCCTATTAAACATATTTTAATCTCTGTATAATATATAGACTATCTGATACTGTACATAAATCTATTAATATATAAAAATATGAATATTTATTATGAAAATAAATATGTATATTATAACTTTTAACTTCATATCCTTAATTATTATATTTTATAATTTAAAGTTATTTAATGTTCTATCGTGCAATAACAAACCGCGTATAGGTTGGTCGGTTAGGTTTAAATCCTATCGACTGCACGAAACTTACTAAATCTGTTCTTGACCTGTAACTCCACTAGTCAAGAACACTTAATGTACAGTGAGATACAAACATCTAGGTAGTTATAAACTGAGAGATACCCGCCTACATACACACACACACACACAGTGTAACTGAGAGATATACGATTCTCGGTGTATATACGTTGAGAGATACTGTCCCCCAGAGTCTTTCTCTTTTACAATACTCACCTCAGTGTGTAGCTTCTTGTCCCCGACTATGCATATACGTACTTTATTACTTAATAATTTACATGGCTTCATTATTATCATGACAAAACTTATATATTACATGTGGTTGTATTATGATTTTCTAAATAATATAAGTCACATATGTCATGGGAGAAATTCATAGACCACAAACTGAATTGGTTAGACGAAAATGCCGTCCTATCTCACTGTCAGTCGTTAGTTAAAACAAAAGACTGAAGTTTAAACGTTATTATCAAAACCTTTCATAGTTAAGCGTGAAATGATTATATTTTATATTTTTATTTTCATTTTTGTTACTTATAATTATTTTTAGTATTCATATTTTCAGTATTATTTTTATTTGTATTATTTATATTTTTTATTTAAAATTCATGGCTACTCTGAAAGGTTATAAATATCAACACGATGTTCTTATATGTAACACAGATCGTGGCAATGTTTTTGTCTTGTGTTTCCATGTTCTCTCTCTCGCTGAGGGATGTGTATAAATTTAGAAAAGCAGACATGCAGAAACGGACACGGAGATAAAAACAAACTTAAGCTCCCTTAACGCCACAGAGCGCATATAAAAACACCAGACACAGGTCAGCCATTAACACCAAGCAAACAAGCAGGAGGGCAACACTGATGGTTGCTCCAGGCATCGGCGAGAATAGTGTAAACACAGCAGTTGTGGTTGTGGTCAGAGATAGAGCGAGGAACACTGGACGCTACTGAGTGTGCATGGATCAACTGTTTGTTTACCAGGTATCTAAATGACAGCAAGTACCACCTTAGGTTTTAATGTATGGATGAAAGAAAAGGAAAAAAGAGCAAGAAGGAACTAGGTCTTTTGATAATGTATCGTAACAGTACGCTGGTATATTCTATACGATAATTACTTTTTTCCGAAAAAAATATGGAGAGAGATAAAGGGTAAAAACGAGCGTTGGAGGAAGTTAATGGAAAATTCAGTAGAAGAAACACTGCCTAGTCTATGTTCCAAGTAGTTAAGAGCTGTTCTCCTTTAGAACAAACTTGATTACCTCTCATTCCCCAGGCACTGCATGATTGTTATGAGTTTAATAACGCCAATTACATTCACCTTAAGTAACTAATATTGAGCTTTTAGAAATATTTATTATGAATCCGAGAAGATAACTTATAAGAGATGGTCCGTGATTATATTTGAAGCTAGTCGGATAGCTAAGGTTGCCAACCGAATAATATTTCTGATTGTTTCAATATGGACTATAAAAGGTTTGAGTACACTTAGAGTCCCGTGGGAACTAAGTGTGCAAATATATGTTGTCTGCTGAATTTAGTTACAGTTAGGTGGAAAAGGCATCAAATTTGCTTTTGTGTCTGTAATACCATCACTGGATTAACCAGGTATCCGTTTCCTAACACCTTTTTCCTATCCTACCTCTTTTGGGGTGGAGTAAGGTAAGGCTTTCTAAAGTATCAATACCTTCTCTTACACTCATCCATACGATGTGTGTGGGTGTGTGGGGAGGTATGAGTGTGGGAAGGGAATGTGTGAGTGTGTGGAGGTGTGATTGTGGATGTAGATGTGTGCGCATGTGTGTAGTGAGCAGTGTATGGATGTGTGGTTTTCCGGGGGATAGTGTGTGGGTGAGTGAGATGAGAATGTGGATAGGTGCGTAGGTGGAGAAGTGAATGTGTAGGTGAGTTGGTGAGAGGATGGATAGGTGAGTGTGTGGATGTGTAAAAATTTTATCATTAAAAACAAGTTGTTCATCTTCTCGTTCTTTCAAAATATTCATTTTTATTTTCACAATATCTCTAACCAAAGCGCAAGCAACCATTTTTCAGCGAGCCTTTAGTGCCCATAACTTGAAACTCACAGTTTACATAGTTCTTGTTTTCCTGGCAAGCGCCCACGCAATCTCCTTCTCGCGTTGTTTATCGCGTCTTCAGAAGCAGGGAAGACACAGTAATAAAGTGACCGCCATTCACCTTTGGATGTGGTAAGTGGTTTATGAAATCTTAGATATGAGTGAAGAGAGTCACTCAAGACACTTGGCAACGGGAGGATATAATCGACATGCAGGAAAAAAAACGGAAAAGAGATTTTTTTTTCTATTTCGATATTCATCTGAAGAGGACCTCAGTTAGAAGTCGAAATATACAAACTTTCTTCTTTATTATGTCTCCATGTAGTTTATATCCTCCCACAGTAACTAAAGCTAACAATTTCTGAGGAAAGATCCCTGGATGGCAAAAATCTTTGAACAGCCTTGGAGGATACAATTGCTCTCTAAGAAAAATGCATCCAGAATCCCAAAGACTATTAGCCTTCAACATGAAGCCTATAATAATTATTATCTTCATTTCTACAATTACATGTACAACGTATACAGACCTAGCTGACATCAGTGACATACTGTATAGAAAGCCCCTTGTTGGAAAATTAGGTTAATTTTGTCCCCAGGATGCGACCCACACCAGTCTGCTAACACCCAGGTACCTATGTACTGCTAGGTGAACAGGGACAGCAAGTGTCTTAAGGAAACACGCCCTAATGTTTACACAAGTACCGAGGATCGAACCACGAACCTCAATGTGTGAGCCGAGTGCGCTAACAACTGAGCCATGGGACACCTATTAAGAAAGGTACCTAGATGTTGGTTTGATTCTCTTATTACGTGGAAAGGGAGCTTCCTTCCTTTCATTTCATCATCTCTAATTATCTCCCAGGAGATTGAAAAGGAAAATTTTAAGAAAAATGAATTAATGACAGTATAAATCTTAGCTGCGTCTGTATGACGCAGCTAAGATTTATACTGTCTTGCAATTCTGTTTCTTAATGTTCATAAGAAAAGACACGTTCTAGTGTATTACAATATGTCTCGCGTTTCCAGACGTAACCCACTGCTTT